TCCCTAGAATGGTCGCAGCCGAATGCGACGTGATCGGCATGCGTGTGAACGCATCTGAAACGAAAAGCGTAATGCTTTCTCGTTATCCTGCCCGTTGCTTTCTTCAGGTTAACGGAGAGGAAGTGGATGAGGTGGAGAAGTTCAAGTACTTCAGAGTCGTATTTACTGGTGATGGAAAATTTGAGGAAGAGATCGACCAGGGATTGAAGTAGCTAGTAACGTTCTGCATGAACCAGCCTAAGCCACTGTGACTAAAGCAGAGATCAGTCTGAAAACTAAGCTCTCGATGTTTAAGTTGATCTTTATCCCCATGCTTACCTACGGTCATGAGTCGTGGACCTTGACTGATGAGCTTAGAACCGCGGTGCGAGCTACTGAAATAGTCTTTCTTAGACCAGTCGCTGGCCGGGAATACTGACATGCGGGAGAGTGTCGGTGTACAGCTTGTGTTTCTGCAAGTTGAGAAGTCACGGCTGCGATGATTTGGGCATGTGTTACAAATGCCATCAGAGAGGAAGGCTAAGCAGCTGTTTCTTTCGAAACAGACTCGCAGAAGACCCAGGGGGCGGTCAAGATTAAGTTGGTGAAGATACATTGAAGGAGTTTGCTCTAGAGACCACTTGTGTTCTGCCAAAACCGAGACTCTGACGTAAGATCGGGAACGTTGGAAGCATTGTTTCACGCATCTTCCGGCGTAATCCGAAGGGAGAAGAAGTCATGAAAGATTAAGATGGTGAAGGAAAACATTTTTTCGACTCTGAATTGATTTTTGTTTTTATGATATTTTAAATACAGTTGTACACCGACTTAAGTGAACTCGGAGTTACGTGGTTCTTGATATTTTCGTTTGGCAACATTTTCAGTGTTTCTCTTGCTGCGATACGCATTGGGCGCATTTAGAGGGAACTCTAGGTGTACGATTATGACTGTACGATCGATGACAGTTTAGATTGTTTTGTTATACATTTTCTGAACCTTTAAAAAACTTCCAAATGAAGTAAATCTGACTGTCTATAAACAGTAAGAAAAGAAAAACAACATTTTTGGAATGTAAACTTAACATGATCAATCATTTTGATAGCAGAGTGAAAATATGTGAATAGGCAAAGAAATGTGAGCTCTCGGAATCCACAGAAAGAACAGCCATAAAGGATAAAGAAAGAATTATCGATGAGGTAAAAAATGATCAGTCTTTGAATTCAAGCATAATTTGTAAGCGACATGGTATTATTGCTAAGATGGAAACAATGCGCTAAGGTGAAGAATTGTCCTGTCGATCAGAACACGGTGTGTAATCAAGCTAAGCCGATTTTTGAGAGGTCCAAAGAAGAAGCTGGGGAGGCGGGCAAGGACGAAAATTTTGTAGCTGGTGACGGTTGGATCAACCGATTTAAAACTCGCTGTAATTGGCACAGCATCGCGGAGGGTGCAGAGACAGCAATTGCCGATAAAGAAGCTGCGTCTCCTTTTCCTGAGACACTAATGGCCATGATAGAAGAAGATCACTGTAGCAGTGAAAGAGCACTGAACGTGGATAAGAGTGGCCTGTTCTGGAAGAAGATGCCTAAAACCACTTTTATCGCACGTGTAGAGAAAATCTTCCAGGGTTTAAGGTTCCTAAAGACGTATTGACTTTAATGGTTGGCGGAAACGCAGCTGGTGATTGAAAGTTAAAGCCTCTGTTAATTTACCGCTCCGAAAACCCAAGAGCCATAAAAGTTATATCAAAGATTAGCTTACCAATGATCTGGAAGTCAAATCATGGTGCTTGGGTAACATCTTACTCTTTTGACGACTGGTTTGGCCAAGTTTTCATACCTGAAGTCGAACCTTATTGCAAAGTCGAACGTCATAACGTCTAAACAGATTCCATTTAAAGTTATGCTTCTTATTGACAATGCAGTCAATCACCCTTCTGGCACCCTAGTTGATTTCGACCCACCTGTAAAAGTTGTGCTTTTGACTCCAAACAGAACCAGTTTGCTTCATGCGATGGACCAGGGAGTCATAAAAATATTCAAGTCTTACTACACGATGCATTTGTTTGCATATCTGACTGAAACTATGAAGCAAAACAGTGAGATATCTGCTAAAGTCTTTTGGAAACAATTCAATGTTTTAGATGCCGTAAGAATCATAGGAAAATTTTGAGATGAAACTTTCAAGAAAACATGGATTGGTGTCTGGAAGAAACTTTGTCCATTTTTTCAGACGAGACGGAAACAACGCCGGAAACTGTTAGTCGGTCATGTGATAGAAGAAGTTGTGAGTTCATCTTGCCAGGCAGTTAGATTTGGAAGTCAATGGTGATGATGTCAACGAGCAGTTGGATTCACGTAGTAAGGAGCTGACAACGGAGAAGATCATACAGATGTGTGAACAAAACGTTACTGAAATAGCCGACACTTCAGCTCAGTTCCACTAGAAAAACACATGACATTCGCAAGCTTGATAGATGTTCTGAGCTCAACCTAAAAGCGCTTCGAAATTTTAGAAAACATAGACTCCAACGAAAAAGCGTTATAGGTGCAAAGCAAGGAATAAAAATATTGTTCCCTTGCTAAGAAGAAATTCTGCGCCAAATAAAGAAGGCATTGTGTCGTCAGATGAATTTGTTAAATTTTATGAAACCATAAACATCGAAATATCATTTTTAAGTAATT